ACTACTATAAAAAGTAGACTCCGTAAAAGCAAAGTTACACAACTTAAAAATAAAAGAATAAGAGAAAGAAGAACCAACGAAGAGTTCCAGGCCGTTTATCTTGGAGTGACGAAGAGCTCCCTGGGACGATAGCAACCGAGCAACAAAAGACGGCGCAGCTCGTGTACTCTTTCGGCTTTATCACTATTCGCAAGATTCTAGAAACGTGATTTTCCGGTACTGTTTTATATCCACTGAGAGCGGCGAAATGTTTGGTTTTGTTGTTGCTGTGAGGTACTTGAGAAACGCTCCGTACCTCGTTATTCTCGTTTAATCGGTGCTCCAAACATCATTTAATCAAACTTTATGTGATTCGAAGCTGATTCTTTATTTTCAATCTATTTACCTTTATGCATAATAAAGGTGAGCAGACGCTAACCGTGAATCTACAATCAAGCTTTTGAAAAGTTTCTTTGTGTTTCATTTGAAATTCCTTGAACCGCGAAAAGGAAAAAGCGCACAATATCAAAGTACATATCCAATAGAGTCAGGCAATCAACGCCAGCACGAGGTAGTGCGCAGCCAGGCGTGTAAATCCCTAATGAACTGCGGCGGTGGCGGCCACTCGAAGCTCGCAGAACACAGAGCTAGTGCGCGCGAAAAGCGCAAACAACAACGACAGCAGTAGAGTCGTCGAAAAAATCGACTTTTTTCAAAGCGGCCTATTGTCTCCCTTGCCATTGATGCTGCCGCTGCTCATTATGTAGTGTCGCTACGGGAATATGCAAATTGTGTTTTTTAGTCGCGCCCGCGCGTTGTCTATCCCGTGACAAAAGCTTGTCGCGATATTGTCAAGGCAGAGGAGATAAAAAGAAGCTCTTAATACTTTACGATCGATGTGACTTTGCGACCCGGTTCACCTTTAGTAACGTGCAAAGTACAAGATTATTGTGTAGCCATACGACCATACATAAATTTAAAAATGTAGACAAAGAGGAAAGTGTTTGTTAGCCGATCGAACGGTGCAATTTTATTAGATAACATAGTTCTTGGCTGCGAAAACAACAGCGGCCGGAAATACTTGTTCAACTTTGCGTATTACAGCGTGCACGATTGTTATGTTGACGCACAAGCGCAACGCCAAATACGTAACGTGCCTCAAGTAGAGATAAATGGCTTTAGTCAGACGCGTCATACGTAACGTACATACACTGCTGCTACGTACTGCAACGTAGACGCGCTGCAAGTTCTTTTCATAAACTACACTCGTACGCGCTTCGTTGCAAGTTTTTCTCGAAAAAAAAAATGTCCAATCGACACATTCTGCCCTCTATCAAAATATAATATTACGGCTCGCGGCAGAAATAACATAATATTATTCGACGGAAAGAGATAGCAGATGTGAGTGCTGGGGAGATGTTGGCAAGCATAAGCCGCGGCTTGCCAATTTTCTCGCTGACGTTAATCGTTAATCACTCCATTGTCTTTCAGCGACGCAGCAACTTCACTGTCATTGAGGCTCTCTGGCTGGCTGACACTTCCGCTTGATCAGCCGTTTCATTGAGCGAACAGCAAAGTCGTTTTTTTCTTCTTTTTATGGGCGGATTTTCGTTCGCACGTGTAATTTTTCTTTTCAAGAGTAAGGACATGCGTGTGTAGCAGTTTTCTTCGATTGAACACATTTGGATTATCTCTCGCTGTCTGTTGTTTATACAAAATAGTTTTCAAGCGCAAGTTGACCGTTAATGACTTTTTGGCCTGGAAAATTTTTATTTTAAAATAAAACTAGGATGTGCATATTTTCAGTAAAAAGTTTTATGGAAAAATTTAATATTCATTTTTTTCAAATATGTTTATGAATCGCATCTAACTGTTTCTGGCAGGCATTCAGTTATCGAGTGTTATTTAACAATATTGCAAATATTTTGATTTAGTGATTTCAATTCGTTCTTAAAAACATTTCGTATCTTCACTATTAAGGAATAAAATTTTTATTAACTCGATGAAATACATTTTTTGCAACGATATCGAACGGCTAAATTCAAAACGAACTATCCAGTCTCTCGCACAAGCTCATTATAATTCGTTAAAAATTCAAGAAATGACTCTTGTATTGACTGGAGTTCATGTTAAGAATAGCACGTTATATTCGGGCGATAAAATTCTTTCCGGTAAAAGAGAAAAAAAAGTCATAAGTTCAGTTTTCATACAAATAAAAAGTCACCCCTCCAAATATTTCTATTCGTCAGTCGCATACCATCCCTACAAACAACCCCATTCCGTAAATTCAGTCTCCACGTGGATGAAGAAAACACACGCAAAAACTTGGCGTATAACAGCAGCCGTTGGCATGATTAATAACCTCGAAGTTTCTTGCAAAGTAGCTGAGTCTCCTAATACCTTAATGTATAGTTCCGCCTGAATCGACTAATAGGAAAGACCGATCAGCCATACAAACCAGTTTAGGGTACGAGAAAATTGAAAACTGGAACACATACACACTGGTTCCGTGTTTATAAGTTTCGAACGAGCTGGTGAGTATATGTTCTACTCGAGTGTGTGCACGCGTGATGTTTTAGCTGGCCGCTGTTTTTGCATTTTCAACTTGATGGATGACCGACGTGCTCGCTATTCCGCTAAATTTTCGATTTTGATTCAAAGTTGTGCAATATGTATTCGGGTTTGTCTGAAAACCAAGAGGATTCTTAAGCTTATTTGCGATTCATTTCTACATTGTCAACATTGCTGAAAGTTCGTTTGCTTATTCGAAGCAGTCGTTGAACAGCTCATCACATGCTTATTTTCATTTCACGTGTTTCGAGAGTTCAGAATAAAGTTGCTTTCGTGAGTAATAATTTTAAGAGTCGACTGTGCACGAAACGAGCAGCTTAAAATTAAAAAAAAAGTAGAGCCGCGTCAAAAAGTTTGTTCAGTAGCAAAAATAAAAATAAATCCTATAAAAATTTGTTTCAGTATAAGGCTTTTCAACAGGAAACTTTAATCATATTCTACGGTATTTTGTAACATAATGAAGATTACTTTTCAAACACATATCAGAGCTCGAATAAAATAAAGTCATATCTATATAATCACGCTGACCTAATTCGAAAGAATCGAAATATTTTACATCATAAAATTTAATAACAGTCAAACTAATCTGAAGGTTCGAGTTTCATTATTACAGCTTCAATTCACTAATTAATTGCTCTGAGTTTTAATCAGTCAGTAATTTGTACATCGGATTCAGTCATCGCGTAACTCGTAGTGATGCATATAAAATACATAAGCTGCATGTTAAATGTATTTTCATCGATACGTCACGACAAATCAACTATTACTCCGTGACAGATTTATCTCCACGCGAAATTTTTTCAAGGGAATATCTATCGCATTGACACCATTTTTAAATGGAAGCTGCAGAATAGCTCCACTGCTGCTGTTACTTAAACTTTCATGAAAAACCTCGCGCGCACATTAGCAATAAATCAGCGCACATGAATCTGTCAGTGGATTCCATAGTGCTTTTTCATCGTACCGACAAAATGATCTATTACCTTCTGCTGTCTTATAACTGAGAACAATAAAAAAAATGTATTTTAATTTCTCAAATTATAGCTTATATCTTTTTGCGATCGTGATAAACTTTACGTAAATAAACATTTCCTAAAAGTGGTTGCATTCTTAAAAAATTTTTCTTTAATCACTAGGAAAAATTTCCAATTCACGTTATTTACCAGAAAAGTTTCTTATATCAAGATATTGATTACGAAAATTTATTTTATAGCATTTTGAACCACCATGAAAGACGCGGAATTAAATTGACCGAACGATCGAACTTTTCGTGCACAATGATTAATATAATAATAAATCCAAGTAAATCGGGTGTATGCGCGCACAGCGACTCGATTACTCTCAAACGTATCAAAGACGAAAACCGTTAAACACGACTCCTCATTGTAAGTCTCGCAAAGCGCACGCGAAAGCGCAACGTAGCCGGACTTTTACGTAATAAGGCACACTCGTAGACGTTGACGGGGGCAAAGTTGTTCTCAAATTTAATTAATTTTCGCGGGCAAGCAAGAGAGAAGCCAGCAGCACACGCAGCTGGCTTTACGACTATTGTGTAGTGCCGCGATATACAATATCGTGTTGTTTGCTTTAGCGGAATTCGGGGAGCGCGCATGGCCCGGACAGGTGCTCTCATATGAGCGGGCTTTGCCAAAAATATAAATTCCTCGCGCGCGGCGATCAAAAAGACCTCTAATAGCCCCCCCCCCCCCCCTCCTCGGTCCATTCTGGCAGTGAGCCTCAAGCGAATTCGTCAATAATTTACTGTGATGCGAAATATCTCGCAGATCCAATGTTTACCTATTCTAGATTCTTTCTTTCTCTCGACCATGTTGGATATATACTTCCATACATCTATTAATATACGTTTTTCGTGATACATATTTAACCCTAGAGCTGCCCATGCAAACGTGCTGATGTTGCGAATTTTTCGGGTTCTCGTGGATTTTTTACGTCAGTTTTCGAATATTCACGTTCAGTGCCAGTTTTTAATTATACGGATAGCCTTTTACTAATGGATATACTTTGTTATTTTTCGAAATGTCACGTGTAGAATAATTTCTTGGGTGATAAAATACGCTCGCATATACCACTACGAAATGTGAATATTTTTAACGTCATTATTCTCCGTAAAAAGAAACGCAGAAAAGCAATCTAATAAACAGTAATGAACACAGAAAGGACAGGAAGTTACATATATGCGAGAGTTAGCATTATGTAAGTTAGAAAGATAGACAAGCCTTTGACCAGAAGACACGCCTCTCTCTTGTGTGCACATCTGTTTACCGTCCAATGCACTTTAAAAGCTTGAAAAATCTCATTCGCGTTTTTCAACGCGAGATGAAATCATTTACGGTAATGTGTTTCCCTTGCAAGCTCGCAAGCTCATTATTTTCCGTCGAATCAAATCAATTATTTCTTTTCAGGGCATTCGCAAGGAACTCGTTGAGTACCAATCCCAGCTTAAATTACACCGAGTGTTGATTGAATAAAGCTGCACTGGGACCAAATAACGAAGAGTCTAATCTGTAAATGAGCCTCGATATATCGAAATAGCGAAGAAGCGCTCTTGAAATGCATCGTCAAGTGTGACCTAAAAGAACATAAAGTAATCAAGTCGCACAACGTACGTCATTCTCAACCCTCCAAAATCAAGTCGCTCTCACTTCACATCGCACCGTATTAAAAAAAAAGAAGACGAATGGCATACCGTATTGGTCCCGGCGGTTAGGCCGGCCGGCGCCGCTGACGTAGTCCTCTTTTTTCTTCTTCGATGTAAGCTGTTTTTTCTCTTTTAAAAGAACACACTTCTTCCCTTCGGGATCTCTCTCGACGACGAATATATAAATCACACTGTGTTATCGCAACGAAAACAAAGCACTGCAATACGCACGCGATTCTCTGAGGTTGTCTTCGGCAAAACAACACTTTACGCGGGGGCGCACATAAGGAATAGAGAAAGAAAGCGATCGAGCAAGCGAGAGAGTAAGAGAGAAAGAGAGACAGGGAGAGAGAGAGAGAGAGAGAAGCAAAGAGTGTACAGAGAAGAGAATAGAACAGATAGAATGGTAGGGTATGTGTGTAAAGGTGTTATCGGGCTCGAGCTCGCCGAGAGACTGGCGCCGGCGAGGGGCTTGGCTGGCAGCCCGCTGATGCCGAGCTGCGCGCGCTTCACGCGAGCTATGAATGAGCCGCCGCCACCGTCGACGACGGCACACGTCGTCGTCGCACGCGCACACGACCGATGTGTGCTTCGACAGCTTAACGCTGCACACTCTCGTACCTCTGCTTACTGCACTCCTCGCGCGAGCTTGCAGGACGAATTATCGTTCCCAGACGCGACAATGGCAGTTCCGACAATTGCGCTTCTCTCTTTTTTTTTTTTTGAGAGAGAGAGAGAGAGAGAGAGAGAATTGACGGTGTGCAGGAGGCAAGAGAGAAAGTCGAGCAAAGCGGCGCGGCAAAAAAGAATACGAAAAGGAAGAGGACGTATAGAGGATGGAAGAGCGGCGTCAGAGAGACTAGCGTCGGCGTTGTGGCAGCGTCGCGCGCGCGATTCTTCACGAGGGCGTGGTCGCGCTTCGCCACCGACGCAACTACACTACTGCCCCTGAGGACTCTCGCCTCATATGCGCTTTCACGCTACGCACTTCTCCACACCGTGTACTCGAGCTTGTTATGCGGCTACTGGATGTGTCCTACTTGATATTTTTTTCCGGTAATAGTAAAGATTCGATGGGACGAAAAACTCGCTGATAATTATTTTTTTATTTTCAAAAGGACAATGGCATACAAAAGACCCGTTCAAGAATGAACTATATTATTTATAAATATAACGTTGCGAAAAAAATAAGTTTCGGAATCGAGAAAATTCTTCCGAAAATAAGAAATTATATTCTTAAATCTAAAATAGGTTCTCCTTAAAATAACATAAAATTTTGATTCAATATTATTAGTTTTAAGAATGCAACAAGTTTAAGAACTTTGTTTGTAATGAATTTTTTATAACTGTGCAAGCTTGGTTCTAAAGAGCAGTTTTTTCCGAGCACTAGTCGCACCCGCAATTATAAGCGTGCAAGTGAAAAAAAACAACTGTTTATTATATCATTAATTTATCGCGATTTTCGCAGCACCGACGACAATACACATCTCTAATCGATATATCAATTTGCATGCGACTTCATCTCGTATATCAACGAAATTTACGTATGCAAACGATATGATAGCAGTCAGCGACAAGACGAGCCATCGTCGAATCGTACAAGAAGAACGATGAATAAAGAGAAAAGATTTTGAACGAATAAAAGTTTGTCGTGCGTTTCTCTGGAGGTGTCGACTATTTACTAGTAAAAGTTTTATCATGAAAGCGGCGACCGTTCGCTTTCGCCGCAATGCATCGTTTGCATAATATAAAACAACACTCAAAATTTCTCGAGCCACGATATCAAACCTCTTATCCTTTCTTCTTTATTAAGAAAAAAGAAAAAAAAACATCGTGAAATTTACATGTTGAAATACAATTCACAGAGAACTGTGCGTATGTATATATATGTGCACTTATGACTAGCCGTCGTCGTCGGAAAACCACGGAGAGGAGGAGGTGGGGATGGAATAACTTGCTCAGCTGAGGAATCGATGCGGCACGTGGATTATTCTCGGTCTTTGACTGCCAGCCAGTTTTCTTGTTGCCTTAGCCTTCTTTGTCGGGACAAAACAATTGGCTGGGCTTTGACCCAAACTATAGATTAGCACTTTTGTTTTTTTCCGATCAAATCTTTCTTAAGTGCGTCTGATCAAAAGCAGTATACTTCCTAGACGAACTTGATTGCGAAGAAATTTTTACGCACATTTTTTTTTTCTTTCCCATGTATCTGTGAAATCTGTACTGTCTGGAGGCCGCAATAAAAATGGCGAATGACAAAAAGACAATTTCACCTGTCTCCCACGAGTTTCCGTTTTACGACACTCTCAAGATAGTCTATTGTAAATCGACATAGTGTGTGTATGTGAGTATGTCTTGTACAACAAAAAGTCAAAACAATAAATTGCGATAGAGAAACGAAAAATAAAGGTTGACATTGGAAGTCGTAAAAAGTGCGTGCGGTAAAATGAAGTTTGTGGGTGGCAATTCGTCGATATTAACTCGCTACGCCTTCGTTCGCTGCTATTAGCGTGTATACGAGCAAAGTTATGTAACAGAATAGTGGTACAGATAAATTGAAAGTACGATTATTGTATACTTGTGATGCGAGCAACAGCTGTACCAGAAGCAAGATTAGAAGTGATCTCGCGGGTGGCATTTCCACGTGCAAATTATCGAGTGAAACCTCTGTTTTATGTCTCGGTCACTGATTTGGCGGATGGACGATGCTTTTCAGGATGAATGTTTGATCAAATCAAATGAACTTTTTGATGTGTGCGTCTGTGGCTTGTGCTTTCTGATGTTAGTTTCTGATGCTGCAGTCTTCGCCTGAGCAGCGGTTATGGTCTTAACGATACTGGAATGTTTGACATCGAGTCTTCTGCTCGCATTTGAATTTTCCGTAATGCGTTATTATATATTTCAAAATGAATATCAAGAATGTTTATGTTTCTCAACGTTATGCAGTTAAAAATATCAACTTAATCACGATACATTTATTCTAAAATATTGTCATGTTCTCGTTCTCTCTTATTTGATATTTAGTATGAAAAATAATGTTACTTCCGGAAAACGACGAAATTCCGAGGCTTGTTATTTACGCGTTACAGGAATGTTGTTACTGTATGAAAATAGATTTTATGAGTGTACGTAATCGATTTACCATTCATACTCTTGAGAACATGTATAGCAGTCAGATTAAAATAACTATTCAAGTTCTTCAAGCTTCCTACCAAATCGTTTCAATTCTCTTTCCCTCTCTCTCTCGTTGTTCTGGAGGCAAGGTATCTCTATGAAAAGATTTGTTTTGTATTGAAATTTTTCAATTTGACAATTTAATAAATAAGTTGCAATAACAAGGAACGTAAAGTTTCATATCAGACATTGTCGCCCCTAAAAAACTCGATTACATCTCGTCTGAAATATACCTTTTGCGCGCAGACCAAATGCAAATAAAGATTTTTCCGCTTGATAGTAAAGCAATTCAAGCAATAGAATTATAATTCATACACTCGATTGCAATGTAGGATAGAGTTGTTAAGGGTGAAATATTACAGTGATTCCAGTACATTTTGACTTGACCCAATTGGGTAAACTCGAGGCTTAAAATGAGTTACTCGCCGTCATCATATAATCGTCGTCGTCGTCGTCGTCGTCGTTGAGTTTGGCCGGTTCACGCGTCGGACAAGGTTAAGCGGTGACCCTCATTCTCTCGCAAGCTCTCTTCTCTCTTTATAAATAGCCGGCGACGCCGCCGTATAAACCAGCGGCCAACCTATCTTTCTCTCTGGCGATTTTCGTTGTCTCTCTTTCGATCTCTCACTTTTTGAATATCCTCTGATTTTTTTTTATGATAGGATGCAAATATAAACTTCTATTTGTCCGCGTACTCAAAGTACGGCAAACTAAAGAGAATTTTCTACATATTGCCAGTGATATTATTTGATTTTCTATATTTAATTCACTTTGAATTGGCGAATAAAGTTCCGGTGGCACTGCTCTCATGCGCTGCAGCATATATCACTTCTGTCTGTAGTGCGACTGATTTATTAATGTAATGCGATAGTAATTAAGTAAATTGAACATTTTCATAAAACGTTCATCTAGTTTTTCGCTGTTGAATTTAGATCAAGATCGCGATGAAAGTCGTTCAAAACAATGACATTCAGTTGGGAAATCCCGCATTCTAATGACACTCGATCTTTGCCCCTTGTCTCTACAAAACAAATTAATAAATGGATGAAAAAAAAACTTTAACTCATCCTTAATTGTTCCAATCGTAAATAAACACACGAAGCCGCGCTGAAAGCTCTGATAAACAAGATAGCAGAGGAAAATACGATGTTATACATCGATCGTTAATCTAAGTTACGTAGATCTCTGCTAGACGCTCGTGAAAACGATGTGTATGTGTGACTTCTGACCAAAAAAATCCAAAGGCTAAAACTACATCTCCCTACTTATACGCACACAGCAGCATCTTTATTGCGTGTCGGAGACAAATGTAAAATTTATTTCTTTCCTTTCTTTTCAGTTGTGCTATACAAGTAATACTCGAGGATTATTTTTTGTTAATAAATTGTTATTGACAAAAAATTTTTGTGATAAATGACCATCGGCATATGTATTTTGGAAATCGATAAAACTTTTCTAACTTATTGCACAACGAATGATGAATTGAAATTTAAAGTACTAGATATCATTCGACTCATCGGAATCTTAACATCACTTGCTTTTATTTCAAATTTACATTTCATAATGGCACTATATTGTGACATTATATTTGTACTATTAAGCAATAAAAGGTCCAATTATTTAAGCCATCTCTAAACATGAAATCATATCTATAACAGCTGCTCCAGACTATAAAAATGTTCTAATCCTCCGAATTTTATGTAAACGAATACGCCTTATTTAAGCTAACTCGATTTATTTAAATGTAAAAATATGACTCACCCTTCGATCTGTAATGCTTTACTCTTTGAAAAGCATGTGCTGGAAATTTTTTGAATGCGTAATTGAGCCAAATACCATCCTAATTACTTGTTTTTCGCATTTATTGATTCAAATACAGCAATATATATATATATATATATAAATTAGGTTCTTCTTCGCTGGGGTAAATGGCAGATTTTTATTTCCGATTACGCTATCACGAACAATTCTATACGCATCACGGCAGGGAAAATGGCAAGCCCATAGCCCGTACAAATTGACACCCGAGAATTCATCTACGGGCTTTTCAATATTTTCCTTCTCTAAATACGTAATATACCATTACATGCACTAAGCTATACGAATTCATCACCATAAAATAATTTTAAAAAATTAATAGGCGAACGTAACATATTGTCTACTCGTTGGACTCGTCGACTCGTCAGCATGGCTACGACGAGAAGACACTACCGTGTACGCGAAAAATTTAATTTCTACGATACTTCATACTCCAC